ACCCAGCCATTACAGCAGGATGGGCCCCAGGCCCCCCCTGCCCTCCCCTGCGTGTTGCCTCACGTCGGGCGAGTGGAAGACGTGGCAGATCATCTTGTAGAGCCTCTTCTCCTGGGCCAGCCCCGGGCGCTGCGGCAGCTTGCGGCGTGCCATGAGCACCACGAGGGAGCCGATGTCGGCGATGTAGGAGATGGTCTGCAGGGAGTGATCCATCATGGCCTCCTGGAGAGAGGGACACGGGCAGAGGGGATCAGCCCACGAGCCAGGCAGGAGCAGCCACAAGCAGGAAGGGTTTGGGTCCAAATGCCAAAGAGGCAGCTCAAATGCCTGGCACACGCCGGGCAGGAACCACATCCACGCTAGCAGGTACAAGCAGCTCCTTCAGTCAAGAGCTCATCCACATCTCTGGGGGCTGCTGGGGGACAAGACAGCTCTACCCTCTTCCTATAAAGCAAAAACTAATCCCAAGGCAAAAAGCTCCAGAAGTTTCAAGCCTAAGTTCCCTGGAGCTCGACCTGGGAATCCAGCAGCTCCTGCCAGGCACAGTTTGCCTGAGAAGCCTCGTGCAGCCAAGCTGAGCAGGACAGCAGCAGAGTGACATCTCCCAGACTGTGTCCTTGCCCACAGGCCATCCTCAGGCACGATGGCACTGGCGTGGGTGCCAAGCAGAGACCCCAAAGTCAAACAGGAAGGTTTCAGCAGTGCCAGAACCACGTGGGTGCTCCTGTTCCCTGCTCACCTGCGTGTCAGCTGTGAGCACCTTGATTCTCTGTGTGGAGACAAACAGATCCACCTCTGTCATGGGCTGGGACTCCCCCTCCGGTGCCTGCGGAACAACGTGTCCAGGAGACATCACTGCTGCTGCCATGTAGCTGGGAGGTGCCCCTGGGCAGGTCCCGAGCTCTGTCCCACACCCATGAAGAGCCAGGCTGGTGGCACCGTGCCCTCCTGTACCTTGATCCTGTCCACTGCCTCCTGGGCCTGTGCCATGCGGACGCTGGTCGGGGGGTTCCTCTCTGAGACGAGCTGTGTGGACCCCAGGTACTTTGCCCCAAAAATCACACCGTCCAGCAGATCCTCTGGGTCACAGGGGCCTGGAACTGAAGCATCAGGAGAGATTATGCAGGGGCTGATCCCTCCACCTCTGAAAACTGGGGACACCAACTCCTACTGCCTGTTAACTGCATTCCTACACATGGCAGAGCAGTTCAGCACTTGGGAGATGGGCTCCCAGCATCACCGAGGGACCCCCTCCAGCCCCAGGGCTGAGTCCTGCTTCCTTCAGGCACACCCTGGCATTCCTCTGTCTCCCCAGCCTGAGCATCCCCCCTCCCTGAAGCACCTGCACGTGCTCAGCAAAGGGTGAGCTGGGATCACACAAGCCACGTTCCCACCCTGCGTGGGTGCAGAGCCAGGTGCCCCCTCCCTGGCTGGGTGCCCTTGGCCCCCTGTGTTTGGGGTCAGGAGGCGGAAGGGCAGGAGGCAGAAGGGCAGGACACCCGTGTGCTTTTGCTGCTTGAGCACAGAAGCAACTCACCCTCTTTGAAGGGCAGGCAGGAGGATGGAGCTTCTGAGTTCTGCAAAGAAACAAGAGAGCAAGTGAGGCTGCAGCAGAGATCCTTGGGATCCAGGCTGCCCACCCCACGGCCAGGCTGCCCCCGAAGCACTGGGACAGCGAGGGATGCAGCTCCTCAGGCTGGGGGTGAGGGCTGCAGGGGTCTGGGGGCTGTTTGGACCACACATG